CCCTCTCCCACTCCCCCTGCTTGTGTTCCCTCTCCCACTCCCCCTGCTTGTGTTCTCTCTCTCGCTGTGTGTCTCTCTCAAATAAATAAATAAATAATCTTTTAAAAAAAAAAAATTAGAGAAGTCTCAAATACACAAGCTAATCTTACATCTAAAGCATGTGGAGAAGAAACAACAAATAAAGCCTAAACCGAACAGAAGAGAAATAATAAAGATTAGAGCAGAAACCAATGAAATAGAAACCAAAAGAATAGTAGAACAGATCAATGAAACTAGAAGCTGGTTCTTGGAAGAATTAATAAGATCAATAAACCCCTAGCCAGACTTAGAAAAAAGAAAGGACCCAAATTAATAAAATCATGAATGAAAGAGGAGAGATCACTACCAACACCAAGGAGATAAAAACAATTTTAAGAACATGTTATGAGGGGCGCCTGGGTGGCTCAGTTGTTAAGCGTCTGCCTTCGGCTCAGGTCATGATCTCAGGGTCCTGGGATCGAGCCCTGCATCGGGCTCCCTGCTCTGCCAGAGGCCTGCTTCTCCCTCTCCCACTCCCCCTGCTTGTGTTCCCTCTCTCGCTGTGTCTCTCTCAGATAAATGAATAAATCTTAAAAAAAAAAAACACATTATGAGCAACTATATGTCAGCAACTTAGGCGATCTGGAAGAAATGGATGCGTTCCTGGAAACTTATAAACTACCAAAACTGTAACAGGAAAAAATAGAAAACCTGAACAGACCCATAACCAGCAAGGAAATTGAAGCAGTAATCAAAAATCTCCCAACAAACAAGAGTCCGGGGCCGGATGGCTTCCTAGGGGAATTCTACCAAACATTGAAGGAAGAACTAATACCTATTCTTCTGAAGCTGTTTAAAAAAAAAAAAAAGTAAGGAAAACTTCCAAACTCGTTCTGTGAGGCCAGCATTACCTTGATCCCAAAACCAGACAAAGACCCCACCAAAAAGGAGAACTACAGACCAATTTCCCTGATGAAATTGGATGCCAAAATTCTCACCAAGATCCTAGCCAATAGGATCCAACAGTACATTAAAAGGATTATTCACCACGACCAAGTAGGATTTATTCCTGGGCTGCGAGGCTGGTTCAACATTCACAAATCAATAACATGATACATCACATTCATAAAAGAAGGACAAGAACCATATGATCCTCTCAATTAATGCAGAAAAAGCATTTGACAAAATACAGCATCTTTCTTGATTAAAACTCTCCACAGTGTAGGGATAGAGGGAACATACCTCAATATCATAAAAGCCATTTACGAAAAGCCCACAGTGAATATCATTCTCAATGGGGAAAAAATGAGAGCTTTTCCCCTAAGGTCAGGAACACGACAGGGATGCCCACTCTCATCACTGTTGTTCAGCATAGTACTAGAAGTCCTAACCTCAACAATCAGACAACAAAAAGAAAGAAAAGGCATTCAGATTGTCAAAGAAGAAGTCAAACTATCTCTTTTTACAGATGACATGATAGTTCATATGGAAAACCCAAAAGACTCCACCCCAAAATTGCTAGAACTCATACAGGAATTCACCATGGCAGGATATGAAATCAATGGACAAAAGTCAGTTGCATTTCTATACACTAACAATGAGATAAAAGAAAGAATTTAAGGAATCAATGCCATTTACAATTGCACCAAAAACCATAAGATACCTAGGAATAAGCCTAACCAAAGAGGTAAAGGATCTGTACTCTAAAAACTACAGAACACTTAC